GTCGTCTATTTCTCTTCTTTCTTTCTTGGTGGGTCTCCCTTCTCCTCTTTGTCTAAACTCAGCACCTGCTTTGCCCACAAACCATTCCTTGTACTTATTTATTTCTTCTAGCGGTGTCAAATCTTCAAAACATGGTGCAGCAAGTGTGGCAGAAACACGCTTCTCAATTATCTGCAAAACCTTGAATGTAAGATTAAAACCATTTTTTTTGACTTCGATCTCTTCGCCTGATGTAACTAGATATGATGGTTTTACATTGGAATCTTTAATCTTGACTTTACCTGCTTTACATGCGTCGGTAGCCATAGATCGGGACTTAAAAAGTCTCACACTCCACAGCCACTTATCTATTCTGACTTTATTTAGTGCCGACATCAGTTCTGTCTAAAATTGGTAATTGTGGATTCATATCTTCCAAAGTTTTTAAAACCACTTGAGCTATAAAATAATTTCTATACCATCTTTTATCAGCCGGCGCTATGTGCCAAGGTATACTACTCTCATTTATAGCATATTCGTAACATTTCATATATTCATTCCAATGGTCATTCTCATCCCAATCGGCTGCTTTATGTTTCCAATTTTTAGTGGTATCGTCTATCCTTTCTTGAAGCTTTTCTTGCTGCTTTTCAGGAGAGATGTGCATATAAAATTTTAATACTTTTGTATTTGCATCAAACTCTAGTAATTCCTCAAATGCATTGATGGCTTTCATTCTTTTTTCTGCCTTTTCTTCACTGATCCATTTATGGACTCTTTGAATCAAGATATCTTCATAATGGGACCTATTAAATATCATAATATTACCCTTTCTTGGCGTTTTTTGGTGGATACGCCATAGAAAATCATGGGCAAATTCTTCTTCCGTGGGCTTTTTGAAAGCTACAACATCTATACCCGAAGGATTACAATCTGCAAAAACTGTTTTGACAGTACCATCTTTTCCACTTGCGTCCATCCCTTGCAGAATGACTAATAAGCTCTGTTTCCCTTCTGCATAGAGTTTGTGCTGTAACTCTCCTATTTTAATAACTAGGTCAATAGTTTTTGCTTCTATTTTCTTTTTATTTAGTTCAGAAGGTGCCTTAGTTGATATTTTTGATAAATTTATGGACATAAACTTTTATAATTTTATATTTAATGATGCTTTTGAGTGTTAAGGTTTTATGCTAAATCAAAAATGAAAAGTACATAATTTCTTGCTACTTCATTTTCGTTCTTTTGACCAAATATGACTGTAATATTGGGACAAAACCTTCATTTATATCTGCTTCGATAAATTCTATCTTATATTGTAAACACTTCATTTTCAATGCTTCCGTATATGCATTTACTTTTTCGACATAAAGTTCTTTGACTTGATTGTGCTGTAACTTTATCTCTTCACCTGATTCTATATCTACGAAAAGATAAGGCCTGTTTTCATATTCAAATTCTAATTCATGCTTTTTGTCTGTCACATGAAATAGTATCACTTCATGTTTGGCATATTTGAGATGTTGGAGTGCAGCAAACATATCTTCACTGTTTTCATCATTGTCAAACATATCGCTAAAAATCATGACTAAGGAACGTCTATGGATACTATCTGCTAGCTGATGTAAAGATTTTGCTGTAGAAGTCGTTTTTTGCTTGGCGGGATCTCGGATTAATCCATCCAAATACGTAAGAAGTAATCGATAGTGAGATGTAGATGATCTACATTTAGTATGAATCTTGACTTCAGAATCAAAAATGCTCAAACCAAAAGCATCTCGTTGTTTTCTCAGAAGATTCATCATAGAAGCTGCTGCAAGTGCCGAAAACTGGAGTTTATTTAATGATTTAGCTCCGGCATCTTCTGGAAAATACATAGAAGAAGATGTGTCAATAATTATTTGACATCTTAAATTGGTCTCTTCTTCAAATTTTTTTGAAAACATTTTATCAGACCGAGCATACACTTTCCAATCTATATCTTTGGTGGACTCACCTGGATTATAAAGGCGATGCTCAGCAAATTCAACTGAAAATCCATGAAAAGGACTTTTATGAAGACCAATGATAAATCCCTCCACTACCTGTTTTGCAAGTAACTCAATATTCTCAACTTGCCTAACATCAAAATTATCAAAAAAACTCATTCATTATGATTTACAAAACAAAAGTAAAATAAAAACTCCTAAATCAAACGAATGAAATAGGAGTTTTATGTAATATTTCAAATTGATGTTTAAATTTACTTCATCTACCACATATTTTAAAAAGAAACTTGTGAAAGACAATTCAATATCAAACAATCAAATTTTATGTTTTTTATAAATGAGCTGCAATTTTTGCTGCCAAAGTCGCTTTAGTAGTAACTCCTACCTGCTTATCCACAACTTCTCCGTCTTTTATGATAAGAATAGTAGGTATGCTTCTTACACCATACTTTAGGGATACTTCAGGATTATCATCTACATTGACTTTTCCAATTGTTGCCTTGCCTTCATATTCTGTTGCAAGATCTTCAATAATTGGTCCTATCAATCTACATGGTCCACACCATTCTGCCCAAAAATCAACAACAGAAACGCCACCTGCCAATGCAGATTCTTGGAAATTACTGTCTGTAAATACAAATGCCATATTATACTTCTTAATTAGTTTTGAAAAAATTTTATACGGCTATTATAACACTAGACCGTTTAGAATAGTTGCAACTAAAACTTTTAAATATTCTTAATAAAATGCTAATGTTTTTGTTAATTTACCCCAATACTACATATTAATGAAGGCAATAACTTTAATATTTATAACTTTTTTGAATCCAAAGATGTGAATTATAATGAGTTATTTCCTAACAGAACAAGTATTAATACCAACTATGGAGTAAAGTGGACAGAAACTTATTAAGCTTGTTAGTGCAAATATAATGGCAAATACGCCTAAAACAAGTGCTAACGTACCACTGATGGTTCCTGTAAAATAAAGTGCTGCAACTACTGCTGCCAATGCTAATCTTATGATTTTGTCTGTTGTACCCATGTTCTTTGTCATGATCTTAAAATTTAATTGTTAAATGATAAATAAAATTATGATACAAAGATAAGTCAGTCATAACTACGGATCTTGTGACATTTATCACACTCATTACATTAATTACAAAATTTTTAATATTCCACCTGTCATTTCAAGTTTATTTTCATTTTCTAGTTTCTTTATGATTCTTGTGACAACTTCTCTTGTTGTAGCAAGGTCGGATGCGATTTCCTTGTGCGTGATCTTAAAAGAATTACTTTTATTAATCAAAGCTTTTTGTTTTAGGTACACCATAATTCTATCATCTAGGTGTTCAAAGACAAGATGCGTTAGTGTTTCAATCATATCTAAATATCTCAATTGATAGAATTTTAAATAAAATGTATTGAATTCAGGATATACCCTACCCCATTTGATAACTTCTGATGATGGCAAAGTAAAAACTCCTTGTCATCGTGGTAAGTATATACTTTGACCGTCCCTGATAATACGATTGGTATGACGCTAACATACTGCCCTACTCTGAGAATCTTTTGATCTTTGGCAATTTCCATAATCTGTGACTTGGTCCACATTTCATCAATGAGTTTTTCGTCAAAGATTGCAAATTTTTGCCTTAATAATTGCTTGTTATATGCTACAGACATTTGAATACTTTTAGGGCCACCCACATCATAAAATACATTTATAAAATCAATGATACAAATCTAAAATTAATTCCTTTGCCAACTACATTTATGTTATTATTTTATAACTTAAATTGAAAATTTCATTTTAACAAGAAAATTAATAATTTAAAATAATGATATCATAACATTGAATATCTGTTATTTATACATTATAAATAATATTTTATAAAAATTATTTTGAAATTCAATAGTACAAATAAAAAGTTTCATCCTTTCTTAATCATAAAACATTTTATTCTAAATCTTTAAATTTTAATTCTTATGAAAATGTATCTTTTAAAATTTCGATGGTTATTTATCCTTGCTTTAGGATTGGGATTGGGTTCTTGTTCTGAGTCTTCAGATGTTGCTGATGAAGCAACTGCAGAGACCTATGCAGAAGAAACCGTATTTAGAACGCAGGAATCTGCAAAATTAGGTAGATTTGGTTGTTACGAGCTTGTTTTTCCTGTAACAGTTTCTTTTTCTGACGGCACAAGTGTTTCGGTTGATTCATATGAAACATTAAAAGCAGCGGTCAAAGAATGGAGAAAAAATAATCCACGTGTTAGAACTAGGCCAACTCTAGCCTTCCCTTATGAAATTATCAATGATGAAGGTGAAATTATTTCTGTCACAGATGAAAATGTACAGAAAGAGCTGAGACAAGCATGTAGAAAAGATTTCTTTGACAATAATGGACCAAATGGGCACAACCATAGACCTAAAATTTGTTTCCACCCTGTCTTCCCTTTCAGTGTACTAATACCAGATGGTACGATCATTACGCTAAATGCAAAAGAAGATCGCAAATTACTTCATGATGCCATAAAAGCTTGGAAGGCAAGTAATCCAGATGCAACTGAGAGACCGGAATTAATCTTTCCTTTGGATGTTATCCTAGAAGATGGCACAACAGTCACAGTTGCTTCAAAAGAAGAGTTGAAACTTCTAAAAGAATCTTGTAAATAAAAACATTTTTCGATACTAATCATTGTGATCGATGTCCAAAGAGATGGTGCATATTTGATTATGCATCATCTTTTTTTTTGCAATCATTTGGAACAAAAATGCTTTAATCAGTTTCTGTTTCTGTTGTAATCAATTCGGATTTACCGTATTCATCAATATAAATTCTGACTAAAACTATAAAAACAGATAACATCAAAGGACCAAAAATAACACCTAAAAACCCTAATAAATTTATACCTATGAAGACACCTAATAAAGTAATGAGTGGGTGTACATCAGCCATTTTTTTCTGAACCATAAACCTAGCAATGTTATCTATTGACCCTATCACTATAAATCCCCATAAAGCGACTCCTATCCCTTGCCAAGGACTTACTATAGCGAATTGATAAATGGCTAATGGCAAATAGACAACAAGTGTCCCTACGATTGGAACCACTGAAGCAATAGCAGTGATTATGCCCATCAACACAAATTCTTCTACACCGAATATCCAATAACCAATCAAACCAGTGATACCTTGAATGATAGCAACTATAGGAATTCCTAAGGCATTGGAATATACTAAATTCCGAATTTCTGATATTAATTTCTTAACATTGACAGCTTTTAAAGGGATACTTGTTCTCAGCCATCTTTCTACTTCCTTGGTTTGAACTAATAAAAAATAAAGTATCAAATACATTAAAAACACATTACCAAGTGCAGAAAAAGTCCCACCAAGTGTTTTCTGAGCGAAAGGAATAACTTGACTGCTTATTTTCTCTACATTCTCAGCTTTCAAAAGATCTATGCCATAATTCACTACAAAATAGTCATGTAATTTTGTAAATATGTCATTAATTATTGTTGGGTCTTGTACCAATGGCATGATCCGATCCACAGCTGTGGCTGTCATCCAGATCAAGGGTATAACCATAATTACTAATGATAAAAACATGAGAATCAAACATGCTATCCATGGCTTCCATTTTCTATTGTGTACTAGATATTTCATGGGATCCATCAATATCACATACAAAGTGATAGCCCCCAAAAATGCTCCTATCATGAAATATAATTCTACAATGATCACATAACCTAAAGCAACTAAAATAGCTAAAAAGAATATTTGCCTTATGGTATTTGGATGGATTTGTTTGGCAGCTGTTACAATTTTCTGACTCATATATTTACATTATTTTATAAAATACCCTTAATAATTGGTCTTAAAATACATACAAAGATAAACATAAAATACTACACATATCTACATAAAAAAAGCCATTGCAAACTTTCATCTGCAATGGCTTAAACTATTTCAATCTAAACACAAATATAAAACACACTTTATTCTAATATAATCATCTTTTTGGTCTCTGTAAATGTACCGCTTTCTATTTGATACATTAAAACACCAGAAGTACCAAGTTCAGATTTGATAAATTCAATTGTATTCTCACCTTTAGCATAATCACCGCTAACAACCTTTATGGTTTTTCCTGTCAAATCGAAAACTTTCAATATTGCATGTCCATCAAGTGGCAAACTGAACGTAATACTTGTTTTGTCAGTAAATGGATTTGGTTTGTTTTGCATTAAAGCATATCCACCTTCTTTGGCTACAGATCTAATATTCAATTTAGTTTGTAATACTTTTTGTTCGCTATCAAAAGCCATCGCAGGTGTCACATTCGAAACCATATTTAATACTTGATGATTAACAATATTGCCATTTGATTTGAACTTCAATGTAAATACTGGTTCATTAGACTTAACGGATACTGGTATTTCTTCATTCCAACTTGAAGTCAATATACCTTCTGCAAGTCTATGTGTACCAAAATTTGATTCGCTAACATTTAAAGAACCTGCCATGATGTCTGTCAGCTCCATTTTTGATGCATCAAATGTCAAAGTATATTGGAAACCAAAGATATTTTCAAAATCATTAGCATAAACTGGTACTTCAAAATATTGACCCATTGTCGCTGTAACTGGTTCTATCTCAAAAGCTAACTCATTATTTGACCTTGACTCTACGGATGATCCATCAATATTTGCTGTTGCCGATCCATTAATATCACCAATCTTAACACCTATGAAATTCTGATTGACTTTAAATGCGTTCAATTGGTTGTAAACATAACTTTCAGTGTATGGGAATGGAGTAAGTGGATTAGTAAAGACATGGTTTGACGTTACAAATCTCCAAGATTTTTGATTATTAGGAAACTCAGTACTTATTCCAAGGATTACTTTTCTTAATGCCACTAGATCGGCAGCTGTGACTTTTGTATTGTTATCAATGTCAGCTGCAATAACTTTTAATGGATCATTAAATACATCTACACCCAAAATATGTCTTTGTGTCAATACCAAGTCCAGTGTAGATACGCCGTTTAGGATGTTTCTATTATCACTCATGCTAACAGTGTATGTATTATTTTTGGGTAATTGTGTAAAATTATAATTACCCGTTGCATCAGTTTTGGCTGTTTTTGATTGATCTGGCACGCTGCTAACTAGCTTGACATCACAACCATTCATACCTAATGAATTACCTATGGCCGCTCTACCTGAGATGGCTATTTGGTTTCCATTAGAATCTGGACATACATTTGCATTATCCTGCAACACTAGTGTTACCGTACAATAATCTTGGTTGCCATCATGATCTGTCACCCACATTTCCACAGATATTTCTTGAGATATACCATTTGGAATGTCTTCACAGCCAAATACAATACCAGAAGTATTATTTTGTGGAATCCAAATTTGAGCGTTGCCTGCTTCATATTCTGCTTTAGTCGATAGAATACCATTACCTGTAAAATAATGCTCTACATTTATTAATGAATCTACTGGAGTAGCACCATAAAAAGTAAATAAAAGATCTTCTACCAACGTACAATTATCATAACTTCCAAGGTCATAATCAGCAGCCCAAATTGCAATCTTACCATT